GGGATGACTCCTGGAAGGGCTTGGGGGACCATGTGGGATTCAGGGGATCAAGCCCAGGTCAGCTGAGTGCAAGGTAATATCCCTGTTTTATCTCCTTGGCCCACCATGGGGCCGTGTTAGCACCGTTCCAATGAACGGAAAGAACCAAAGTATCATTCCTGTTCCTCTTGGTAGAACTGGGGAACCGGCTTTGCTTTCAAAAACTGACCAGGGACCAGAGAGCCAGTCCAGAGGGCAAGGGGCTTTCCTTGCACCCAGGTTCAATCCAGAGCACCAGAAACAGCCCCTGCACACTGCCAGGCGTCACCCCAAAACTCACCCTCCAGAAAACGTTATCTCTCCGTGGGTCTAGGGGTGGGCGGATGGGTCAGCTGGAACCACGGGCAGCAGGGACAGCAGCCCTGATCAGACCCACCTGGCAGGGGAAGCCGCCAAGCCCCACACTCTCGGCCTGGCACCAGGAGGGGTGACGGGCGGGCTGAAGCTGGCGTGTGAGGAGAATGTGGGCCCCCCCACCCCCAGCTGCTGGTGGGTGCCCCCAGCCCGCTTAGCTCCCAGCCCTCTTGCCACGCCTCCCCTCTGCGCTCATCCCAGATGTCTGCACACGCCCTCATCTGGGGCCTGCCCTGCCGCACCCCTGCCCCCGTGTCCAGGGTCATGCAGAGCGCTGGGGCCCACTCCCCGCCTTCTGGCCCCTGTCCGGCCAGCTGCCTCCTCAAGGCGGCCGTTCCGGGTTCCAGCTCAGCAGAGCAGCCCACCGGCCCCCTGCCTCTCCCCCTCCCCCGCCTCCTTTCGGTCCTGCCCATCCGCACACCCCGTCCATTCCGTCTCTGAGGAGACGTGTCCCCAAACGCTGCGCCCTGCACCCAAAGCGGCTTCCTCTTCCTGGGCCGACCCGCGTGCCCCGCCCCCACCTTCAGTCCCAACCCCGCCGTCACCGGCTCTGGGCTGAGCGACGCCCCCGAGCTCCTACCTTGACAATCGCAACTCCAGCAGGCGCGCTGACCTCTGTGCGTTTTTTTAATAAAGACTTTATTTGTTTGTGGGCCACACCTGAAGGTGCTCCGGGCCTCCCCCAGCTCTGCGCCCAGGGGCGTTCGGGGGACCATGCGTGCGGGGCTGGAACCCGGGCCTGCCGCTGCGAAGCGCGGCGCAAAGCACTGAGCTCTCCAGCCTGGACTGGCTTCCCGGGAGCCGAAGTGCTCAGCTCCTCCGGGGCACAGGGCGGAGAGTCCCGACCCGGCGCGGCCGTGGGGACACACAGGCCAGCACCAGGCACCGCCACGCGCGTCCCCCAGCTGAGGCGGCGCTCAGCAGCTCCCTTACCCGGGCAGGGCTGCAGGGGCAAGGGGACTTGTCCAGGGGCCCGGGGCCAGGGGAGGGTCCCGAGTCAGTGGGGTGCAGGGCCTCCTCCGTGGATGCTCGTGCGGCGACATGTCCAGACACCAGACCATCTCTCAGGTCCCCCCAAGCTGTGGCTCAGTCCTGCGGTGTTTCCAGAATGTTCCCCCTCAGAAGAAATGAAGGTGACGGGAGGGCAGCCAGAGCCCCAGCCTCGGGCCCTGAGGTACCTGGAGACCTGAAGGGCCCAGCAGGAAGGGGCAGCGCTGGCCCCTCGGCAGGCCGGGGCCCACCCAGAGAAGGAGCGGCTGGCACGGGTGGCAGAAAATTTATTCAAACGTCTCTGCCTGCACGGGCACTCGGCGGGCAGCGGAGGGCTTGGGCCGAAATGAATGTCACTAAACTGGACGCTGAAGGAGAGGACACTTCTGGACAGGACTGACCGACGGGTGTGGATGACACTGAGCCACCCTTACGACACGCCGGCACCTTCACAGGCAATTCCAGGCCCGTGGAAGGTTCTGGAGTGGCGGGTGGGGGGGAAGAGCCCCGCGGGGCCGGCCCCTGCAGCCCTGCTCAGCGCACTAGCAAGCACTGGGGTACCTGCCCGCAGTCCTCACCCCTTCCCTGGGGGGAGGGACTGGGCAGCCATGGGCCGCCCCAACTGTCCTGAGAGCCCCCGTTCTGGGGTGGGAGGCCAAGGCAGGCTGCTCAAAGCTCGGGTCCGGAGACCACGCTGCGCTCGGGGTCACAGCATTGCTTGGTCTCCACCAGGTGACAGCCAGGTCACCTGTCCCAGGGATGTGGACTCCTTCCTGGGGCGGAGTCTTCTGCAGGGGTCTCAGCTGGGCCCAGCCCCCCACTGGGACCTTCCTGGGTCCGGCTGGTGGGGACTGCGGGTGCTGCCGGCTGCCCTGGCCTGTCCCCCGGGGGGTGGCCCGCCCTCTCAGGGTGACAGATCTCATGCCCCTGCCCCACTTGGGCACAGGCACCGTCGGGGTCCCCAGACTCCCCCAGCCCTGGGCTTTGGTTTACATCACGGAGAAGCATCACTCCTGCACCCCAACCCCCACCATGCACGGGGACCAGCTGTGACCTGGGCACCAGCCCCGCCTCCTGCGCCACCCCCTGGGAGGCAGGCCCGCACCCCTGCACCCACCCCCTGCAGGGAAACAGCAGGTGGCACTGGGAGATCTGGGGGCCCCTCAGAGGTCTCCCTGCCCCCCCGCCACGGCCTTCACACACACACGCACACGTGTCTCAGCTCTAAAGCACTGCCCGCCCGGCAAGGAGGAGGAAGAGGACGACGACGAGGACGAGGACGAGGAAGGGCAGGGGACAGAGGACAAAGGGGGAGGGGTACCCTGTTCAGAGGTGACGAGGCCTGGGGGGGCAGGGGTACCCTGTTCAGAGGTGACCTGCAAGTTCAAGTTACGCAGAAAATTATCAGAGGCGAGACAGTCTCTGCCCTTGGCAGAGGCCCAGGGCGAGGGGACGCGGGAGGGGGCGCATCCCTTGATGCCCTGTGGCCCCCCTCCCGGCCCCCCTCCCTGACACCAGGGCCGAGAAATCTGTGCTGTACAAAACAGGCCGGGTGCGGCGGCGGGGGGGAGGGGCACCTGGGCCTGGACAGTCCCGTGGGCAGCGGCCGGGCCGGGCTCTGCTCCGAGCAGGCCTGCAGTGGGTCACGGTCAGCCGGCGAGGTCTAGGCGCTCGCCGGGCGCAGGAGCTGAGCGCGAGGCAGGCAGAAGCCCGGGCCGGGGTCAGGGGCCGGCTGGGGCCACTCCTGGCCACGCCAGAGCTCAGGAGAGGCTGAGGACGGGTCCGGCTCCCCTAGGTCACACAGGCAGCAGCGGGCCCGGCCACCCCCCGCCGCACCCGCCCCGGGCTCGCAGGCAGCTGGCAGGTGAGTTCGCGGAGATCTGGGGGCTCCCTCGGCGCCTGAACGGAGGGTGCGAGGGCAGGAGACAGGACAAGCTGGACGGGTCAGCTGCCGGCCGTGAGCCTTCAGGGCCCCTGTGAGTGGGCGACGGGACAGGGCAGAACCCCCCATCCAGAGACGTCGGCCCCTGGCCGCAGCACGGAGCTGACCGTGGAGCCCACGAAATCTGAGAGAGAGAATTGGAGAGAGTCAGACGCCGCCGCCCGCCGCCCACCGCGCCCCGGGCCCCGCAGGGCCGCCCGGGCCCCAGGCCTCCGACCTGCACTCCCGGGAACGGCCACCAGGGGGCCCCGCCCGCACACGCGTGACACCGCGGAACCGGGGAGTCCCCGCATCACCTGGGCTCAGCAGGGGTGAGGCAGCCGGAGGGAGCGGACAGCGCGGGGCAGGGGCGGGGACGCGGCCCACCGTCAGCCTCCCCGACCTCCTCTCCCCCGTGGGGGCCTCCACGCTGCGCTCACCTGCTCCCCACAGTCTGGGGGGCTGCGGGCCGCTCCCAGTGGTACTCGCCCAGCTGTGCGGGTGGGTCCGACTTCCAGTGCCGGGACCCCCGGGGTACTTGGTGGTGTCGGGGGGCGTGTGGCCCCGGGAACGGGACTCCACCAAAAAGACCCCCTCGCGGCAGAGGGGGCATCTTCGGGAGACGCGGCCCTAGTGCAGGGCCCACGGCAGTCCCAGCGCGTTGCTGGCGCGAGGACGCGGCGGCGGGCGAGACTCCGGGTTCCTGCCGCAGACCCAGGCGCATGGGACACGTGGGTGTCTGCCCCCCACCCCCCAAGCAGCCCGGCCCGCACTCCGGGCGCGGGGTGCCCCCTGGGACGGCAGGCCCGCACGGTCCCCAGAGGCGCCGCGGAGGACAGGGCTTGCGGCACGCGCTCCTCCACACTGTTTTACTGGGGTGCAGACCAGCCCCGCAGAGGGGGGTGCGGTCCGCGGCTCCTCACTTTTAAGGCCGCTTCACCCCTGGCCCGCGCTGGGGACCAGACCCGCAACGGGGACCACTGTGGGCTCAGCCGGGAGACCCCAACGGACTAAGCCCCCCTCACGCTCCTGCCCCCTTCGACTGGCACTCGCCGCACCTCTCCTGCTTCTCACACCTGAGTTCTTTCCTTGGGGGCAGCCTCCTCTGTTCCACTCCGGGGCTCTGGGAGGCCACACGGTGCCAGGATCAGACCCAGGGCCAGCATGTGCCAGGCCCTCAACCCTCTGCACTATGCTCCCCACCCTCACTCGGTTATTTATTTGTATCTGGGGCGGCGGCCTGCCCCTCCCCGCCCCGCCCCGCCCCACCCTCAGGTGACCCACTGGCAGGTCAACGTGAGCCCCCCAGATCTGGTGCTACCCGGGCTGTGGTGCCAGATTTATCAGGCCACCTGGCGGCGGTGCTGAGGGACCACGCAGTGCCAGGGACGGGCCCACATGCCGGATCCCAGGCAGGCATCTCGACCCTGCGCCCCTGATCTGGGCCCACCTGGTTCTTCTAAAAAGCACTAACTTGGGGCTGGCAGGTATCACACCTGTCTTGACACGACCGCCAGCACCTGCAAGGGCCCACCAAGCTCCTGAGCACTGCCGGGCGTGACCCCAAGGCCACAGGTCAATCAAAAGCACAGCGTGGCCACAGGTGGTGCACGCTTCAACGAGCAATGCGTCTTGCTGAGGGCCCGGGCTCCAGAAAGATACGCCTCTCGTTTCATGGAACGTGATTTTATTCCTCTTCCAATCAGCCCTCCAAGACGTGTCTCGGCTCCACACTGAGGCTCAGTCAGCCCACCCCCTTCCCGCCCACCCCTCGGGGTTCAGTGTGAAACTTCTCTTGCACGTTTCTCCAGGGCGTGTGCTGAGGGCTGTTTCCTGGGCTCCAGGCACCCGCGTTTGGATGTGTGGGGTAGTGACCCATGATTGTCCAGGGGGTCCCACTGTCCTCTCCGTTTCCAATCTCTGCTTCCTCTCCGGGACTCCGCACCGGCCGCCCCCGCCCCGGCCCGCACTCGCCTTTGTTCTCCTGCTTGAGCTCCTCCTGCGGGAGGTCCGTTTGCCGGTTGCCCAGCACGAAGGCCAGGAAGGAGAGGATGAGGGCGTTGAGGATGCCGATGATGGCCAGGATGTAGGCCCAGCGCACCGAGCAGTCCCCCAGCGAGTACTTCCCGGTCCTGGCCCCGCACATGTCCCGGATGGTCTCGGCGTCCCAGCCGTCGGGAAAGATCATGCAGCCCAGGACGAGGCACAAAGCTGGGGGTGGGGGTGGAGAGGAGAGAGGGTCATGATGAGCACCAGCGGTGGGGTCAGGCATCGTCCTGAGGGGTCCGGAAACCTCGGGCACGGGAGCACCCCCCTGAAACCCACCGAGCTTTCCCTCGGCCGTCAAGTCACCTCCTCCAACAAGCCTGCCTGGACGTAAGAGAAATCCAGCAAGCCCTGCCCGCCTGCCCGCGGTGCAGAGTCAAACCCAGGCTTCATACCTCGGGTAGTGACACACGATGCTCTGTGCACACCCTCCCTGGGGACACGGCTTATGTGGGGGGCACATCCAGCAGTGCTCAGGGCTTACTCCCCGCTCTGTGCTCAAGGACCATTCCTGGCGGGTTCAGGGGACCAAATGGGATGCCTGGGATCGAACCCGAGTCAGCTGCACACAGGGTGAAAACCCTAACCTAGTTGGACTGTCTCTCTGCCCCTATTTCTTTTCTTTTTGGGTCACACCCAGCTTTGCGCAGGGGAACTCCTGACTCTGCTCCTCCTGGCAGTGCTTGGAGGACCATACGGGATGCTGGGAATTGAACCCGGGTTGGCCTCGTGCAAGGCAAACGACCTCCCCGCTATCCTATCGCTCCAGCCCCTCTGCCCCATTCTATTATTATTCTTTCAAATGATCGGTGAGCCCCACCAAGGGGGCTCTTCCCCATCAGTGCTCTGGGATCGCTCCTGGGGGTGCTGGGGGACCCAGTCCGGCGGTGCACGAGCAAGCGCCCTATGGCTCCAGCCCCCTTTTATTCAAGACCCGGGAAACAATTCTGGGGGTGGGGGGAGGGGGCGACCACCGTCCTTCAATGAATGGGTCCCTCACCGCGTGGGGCGGGGCCTGCGCTCTGGGCAGCGCCTCCGCGCAGGGGCGGGGCCGAACCCCAGCCAATCGGCACCTGCTGCCATCCTGACACCCGATTGGCTCGGGGAAGCCCCGCGCAGCCAATCAGAGCCAACGCAGCTCGCCGAAGCCCCGCCTGCACCCGTACCCGGGCGGCCGCGGCCCTCGGGCCCAAGGCGCCTCGACGACCCGACCCGGAGCGTGGAGCGTCCGTGCGGGCCGCGCGCCTGGGCTGGCGGGTGCTCGGACCTGGGACCTGCCGCTGTCCGCGCGGTTCCCGGGGCGGCCCCGCCCCCAGCCGGAAGGGTTCCGGGCAGCGCCCGGTGCGGGATGCGCCCGCGAGCGAGCGGTGGGGGCGGGGGACGGATGGGGCATTGCGGCCGCTGCAGAGAAGGTGCGGGGCGAGCCCGGGGCGGGCACGCGGGGGCACCTGAGCCCGCAGCCGCAGTCACGCTCCTCGATTCCCCGCAGCGCCCCAGCCCTCCCCCGGGGCCCCCTTCCCGGGCTCCACCGCGCGCAGCGGAGAGCGGCTCGCCCCGCCTCCCCCCTCCACCGCCTCTCTGCGGTGCAGCAGTTCCCCTCCGGCGGGAGCATCCCGTCTCCATGGAAACCGCGCCAGCCTCCAGGCTCGCAGGCCTCACTCAGCTGCAGCCCCTTCGCTGCACCACCGCGGAGCTCACTCGCGGGCGTCGCTCCCGCTCTCTCCCTGCTGGGGTCTCCCCGCGCGCACCCCCCGCTCTGGGCCAGGCTCCATCTGCTCACGTCCGCGCCGGGCCCCCTCCTCCCCATCAGTCGGGAGTTCTGGCACTGCCAGGCAGCGCACACCGGCCACGCTGGCTCTCCCCCTGCCCCGCCACCTGATCCCTCCTCCGCGCGCTGCCCAGATGAAGGCCGAGGGTCGGGGTGCAAATCTGGGGGGTTGGGTGCTTGCATGCAGAACTACACGGCGACGTTCGAATGGAAGGGCGCCCCCCAACCCAGAGGTGCTCACAGCCAGCCTGGACTCCCTGCCGCACTGGAGACTCTGCCGGGGGTGGGGGAAGGATTGGGGGTTCCACACCCAGTAGCTGGAGCCCCCCTTCGAAACCCAGGGCAGTACCCTTAGGGCTTCTCAGCTACATCTGGACGGTCTGGGGGGCAGAGGTCAGACACCAGGGGGAATATCCCAGATGCGGACACCAGCATCCCCGTTTCCATCACCAAAATGTCTCCCAGCATTGCCAGGAGTCCCCTGGGCAGGTTCCCCCACCCAGAATGGTCCTGCGGGATCACAGGTCTCAGCTCCATACCGGTGCCACCCCCTGTTCTACGCACCTGGGAGGATGATCTGGTTGGGGGGGTGTCCTTGGGGCCACACTTGGCGTGCTCAGGGGCCTACTCTGCAGATTCGGGGCACCATGAGGGGACGGGACTGGACGGGACCCGGGTCAGCGCATGCAAGGCGAACGGCCACCTGCTGCCCTACAGCTCCGTCCCCTCAGGTGAGGCTCTGTCCGCGGGTGGGGACAGTAGGAGGGACCCACTGCAGAGGGAGCCGATGTAGCCCACCCGACCCCAGTACGCCCGGACACTCCCGGAGGCGTGGACCCACGGAGGGGCTGGGTCCCTTGCGACCCTAGCGGTGGGCTGAGCTGGGAAAGCGGCACGGCCCCCCCTCAGCCCCGGAGACGGGCAGGGCGCGAGGAAGCGCTGCCCAAGGACAGTGGGGCAGGTCAGGGTCCCCGCTGGACCAGGGTCCACCTTGGTCTCCGGGCTCCTGGTTCCCGGCGGGTCCCCAGCTGCGTCTTGGCCTGGTCTCCGCCCAGGGCCCGGCCGTTTCCCACAAAAAGTTCTGGGGTCGCGGGGAGGGCTGCGCCCTCAGCCACCCCCCCCCCCCAGAGGAACCGCCGGGAGCAATACCGGGACCAACGGGCGGGCAGGACGGGCAGTGCTGGACGGAGGGCGGGATGGACAGTGCCGGGAGGGGTGGGATGGGCAGGGCGGGGGCGGGGCGGGGCGCAGCTGTGCTGGCTCCATTGAGCAGGGAGTCCTGAGGACCAGGGGAAGCGCAAAGCTCACAAGGACCATGGACAGCGTCAAAAGTCAAGCTCACCGCCAGGGAGCCGGCTTGGCAGGCTGCGGGCCTGCCCTGCCTGTGTGGGACCCATTTCCACGCCCAACGCTGTGTGTGTGTGTGTGTGGGGGGGGGGGGTGGACAGAGCAACTGCAGGAGAAGCCTAAATGGAGGGGCTGTCTGCTATGGGGGGGCGCTGGCTGGGGCTGTGGGCCTCTGTGGACTCCTTCCTTCCTCTTTTCTCTTATTTATGGTTTAAAAATAAAACTGGGGGCCACACCCGGTGGTGCTCAGTGTTCACTCCTGGCTCTGTGCTTGGGAATTACCCCTGGCGGTGCCGGGGATCGAACCCGGGCCCTAGGCCACTGCACTGTTGCCCTGAACCGTCTTTCTTGTGAACTTTAAACAACAAAGGCTGGCGCGGCTGCTTAACTGGGAAATTCTGGCACGCCCAAGTGGCCGGCTGTGTGCCTGGTTCCGACCCCCAGATGTGACTCTATTTTGGGAAAAACACAGAGCAAAGAGTTACAGAGAGGAGCCAGAGGGAGAGCACAGCGGGCAGGGCGTTTGCCTTGCACGCAGCGGACCCGGGTTCCATCCCGGCCCCCATGTGGTCCCCCCACCCCGCCAGAAGTGATTCCTGAGCACAGAGCCAGGAGTAAGCCCTGAGCGCTGCTGGGTGTGACCCACAAAACAAAATAAGGAGTTCTGAAGGATGTGCCATGCGAGCACAGCTCTGAGTCCCTCAGGCTGAGCGTGGAGACGGTGGCGGCCACAGCTGCAGCTGAGATGGCCAGAACCTGCCTGGCTGCAGAGGCAGCCAACGACCAGCACTTTAGCCCGCCAGCCTCAGTGACCTCGGGGGTCCCGGACATGCTCAGGGCATGTGGGGCTAAGCCAGGGGGGCCACATCACACTGGGGAGGAGCCGGGGACCAATCTGAGGGCCTCAAGCATGCCAGGCAATGCTCCCCCACAGTGCTCGACTCCGAGGGCCAGGTCTGGCTCCGAGAGGAGGCGGTGGAAGGGAAGCCCCAGCCTCGGGTCATCCTCGGGCCTCTCCCCACCAGGTCTGCACCCCAGCACAAGTCTGAGCCCCCGTGGCCAGTCGAGACCCAGCCCCCCCGCCATGGCGGGCCCCAGGCCGCATCTGCATGCTTAAGGGGCTCTTAAGGGGCTCACCCCCTGCTGCCCACCTCAAGGCCCACCCTGAGCCCAGCCCAGCCTATGCAGCTTCCAGAAACAGCCGGGCGGCTCCCTGCCCACCAGCCCCAGCCCCAGGGAGTCCGGGATGGCCCACCTCCCCCTGCACCCGCTGCCTCGGGCACTGGACACCCTCTGTCCCCTGCAGTCCTGCTGTGGCCTGGACGCTCCCAACCCTCCCTTGGACACACCTCCAGTTCCTGGGCCCTGTCTGCAGCATTCCCAAGGCCAGACTCGGGGTCCCAGCCACAAGGGTCACCGCCTCCCCTATCCCTCCGGACTGTCCACCACACACTGGAGCCTCCGTGACCTTGAGCCCCCCTCGGCTCTGCTGCACTCAGCCCGGATGTGGTCCCCACAGCCATTCCCACCAACCCTCCCCTTCCGCCCACCCTCTGCGCCATCGCCACACGCTCCGGCTCTAGGACATGGTCCTTCCTCCAGGCAGGCACCGCCTCATCTGAGCACTGGCCCAAGACAGCTGCCCAAGAGTGTCCAAGCTGTGCCCGCCCTCGCCCGCTCACTTCCGGGCAACACCCTGCGCCTCCATCTCCACGGAAGCCTCCCCTGCACTCTGCTTCCGGGGCTCCAGGCACCCAGAGGGGCCTTAACTCCCGCCCTTCTCTGCCAGACCGCCTCGTCTCCTCAGCATCCCTCACCAGGCCCTGCCCCTCCCCCTGGCACTTCCGAGAATAAGTAAGTAAGAGAACTCGGACCCCAACTCTCTGGAAGGCAGTCCCCTTCACCCCACCCCTGTCCCTTTCAGGCCACGAAGCAGGACCCAGTGACAGGACCCGGGGCCCAACCACTTACAGCCATCACACTCACTCCCAAGGGTCCCCTTGGTACCAGGGTCTGTCCACATGGTTACCCACCGGAAAGCCCCTGGAAG